CTAGATCAACCGATGTAGCCATGAACTTTGGATTGCTACCTAAAGCATGACTACCAAGTAAACCAACGAATCTTATGGTATTAGGAAGAGCTCGAGAAGTTACTTCCATAATGTGAGAATGTGAGATGCTCTTGCCACAATTTGATATATATAGACTCTGAAATAGGACCATTGATGGAAAGGTAATTATCACCAGCCCAAAAACGTACAGGAAAGTGGATTCGTTCGAGACAAGAGTGTACTCGCCAATACTGCAGTCTGCTGACGACATGACATATTGAGACTCAGGATTAGTTAGGCTCATTGTCCTGAAATACATTCAAATTTGAGACGAAAAGTCAAAATGATTATTTACCTAAGACAATGAAGGCCACTTGAGTAACTTCGAAAGAGTGAAACATTAAAGGATGAAAACAAACTATTTGCCACAATAATTCACAAACGCTATATTCGTATCTTGTGACCTATACTAAAACTTACCATGTTAATTACACACTTAAAGCATCTCACTTGATTAAATTTGAAAAGGTTGAATTCTATTTTTTTAAAAAAAAATAATTAAGAACTTGTTTAAACTCATATTTCTCCATCAAACCAAAAAGATATTTTATGATACCGATCTTCAAAAAAAACCACGTATGTATTAGTAGAATCCCAAACGTATTAGAATACGACTATGTGTATAACTTATCATGTTTTTGATAATAAGTAATTTAACTATTGTATTACGAATATTAGTGATATGACGAATACACTAATATTATAATTTTTCGAGCATGAAGCTCTATCATAATTATTGAGAAAGTCTGAAATTTCAAAGTAGTTCTGGAATCATCAATCAGAAAATCAGTATCCAAGAATGATTACATATCATCTTGATAAAACAAATAGTGACAAATAGCAAGTGCTATCAAAACGTTCATCCAATCATTACAATATGAAAAATATATATTATTGTTATATATAAGTGAGGTATATGTGTTAACTGTTACAATCAAGCTTTCATCAGCTTATTGACATCATGTTAGTCAGAACAACCCATTAAGGATTGCTAATGAGAGTTCAAGTTTTGAAACTATAATTTTGTATTCATCTAGAAAACCTAGAATGATGGCTATGGTAATAGTCATGCCCCCCAAAATACGATTATGTAAAAAAAAAAACGTCAAACGTAAAACAATTCGTTCCAGCTTGTATACAATGAAGCGTAATTGTGAAACAAACATTCTAGACAAAGTCGTCTGAGAATGATATTAGAAGAAATTCAAAAAAAAAAATTGTAAATTACCCCACATTTTAGAAACGCAATCTATACTCCTACAACACAACAAGAGCAAGTCTAAGTATATTCGACGCAAGTCTCCGTGAAAGAATTTCAAACATTTTACTCCTATCATCCGCGTATGTCTTCTCTTAAAAATAAAATGTCATAATCAATGGAGAACATCTCATAATCATGACACTCAACAAAAAAATGATGAAAATAACTTTTCAAAATTTGTGTTTTAAAAAAAAACAATGAATATTCATTATTTTGTAAATCATCATTTTAAACGACCTCACCTAAGGAAATTTCGGGGACGAAATTTCTTTAAGGGGGGAAGAAATGTAACGCCACGAAATATGGCCTAAATTTTATTATAAAACAAAAGTAATTTTCGTCCAATAAGAAATATTTATAGGTTGACCAAAAATAAATGATTTTCAAAATAATGACTTTTTGTTAAAAACTTATTTTTATGGATATGTCTCAAAGAGACGAATCCAACGGTACAGTTTATGAACCAATCTCATTTATAGATTTCAAGTTATGTCGATTTTAAATATTAAAATTTGTAACTTTGACCCATAAAATAAACTCAATCCAAAGGTGATTTAATAAGATTATAAATCATAATTTTGACACTTGACAACACCATATTTATCATTTGGATTTAATCCATATATTTATATCTCAATCATATTATAAAATTAATTTATGACAGAGACA